AGAAGCCCAACACCCCCTCTCCAACTTTCCTTTGTCCAGTCACTTCTTCTTAATTTATCACCTTTTGTTTCCATGGTATATAAACTGTCAAGTCTAACAGCTTCCTGGATTTTTCACTTCCTTTCTGTCAAACCTTTGTGCACATATAATTAAAATAAGTTTGCATGCATTTTCTCCTGTTAATCTTGCTTTTATCAGTTTAATTTCTACGTCCCAGTTACAGAACATAAGAGAGTAGAGAAGTTTTTTTTTCCCTTCTATCAACCCATATAAGAACAAGAAATGTAATTGTCCCATAAGAAAGACTCCCTGCACAGTGGAAAGGACTCTAGATTTCATGAACAACTCATTTAGAAGGCACTTATGTTCTTATCTTACAATAATGCTTAAGTGCCATCAGATATATTTTAATGAAATCAGATACTAGACCAGTTCAGTCACTAACAAATGGCAGTATATCAATGTAATTTTCTCTTTTGTAGATGCTTATCAATGTCACCCAAAAGTCTGTATGGTAAAATCTCACCTTTAAAAGTTTTGTTTCCCAAAAGCTCTTAATAAGTGGGAAGCATTATAGCAATAAAAATCTACTGGCTAAATAGGAGAGGGAACTATAATAAGTTTAAGTGCCATTATCTTATTGACTATGAAGAAAAAACATATTCTAGATAAGACTTGAGGTTTCTCTAAGCCAGAAATTGAGATCATGAAGGTGGTAGCTTGTCAATGCAGTTCTATTTGCTATTGTATTGTGCTATTATCCTACCTTTTTAAAAAAGTAAAGTAATTTTGCAGGATAACTGAAATATGTTGTATAATGGATTATTAAAAAGCCTGGAGCAGTGCAGCCAATAGTAGCAGCCTGGTTTAAATTCATAGACAAAATTACTATCCAACTGCACATCATCTAGTGTTATAGTTAATAATCATGCTTTACACACTGCATAGACTCCTAGTCATCATTTTCCTGTTCTTGTTTTAGTCAAGCCTGATGATGAACCAGTGCAGAGCAGACAGTATGTTCATGTGTCTGGGTGTATTAGTGAGGGTCATTTATTTCTGTTAAAAGTCTGTATTAGCTATTGCAACAATAATGTCCCAAACTCAATGGTCTATGATAACAAGCATTTATTTGTACATTTACAATTCTGCACATTGCTCATGAGCTAGAGTTTGTCAGTTCTTGCCTAGGGAGCCATGTTGCAGATATGAGTTGTCTGAGTTTGGCTCCAGCTCGAGGCTGGATTCAGATAAGCTGTGTGCTGTCATTCTGGGCCTAGGATGAACTGGGCATGCGTTTTGCATGGTGGATCACCAGAACATCAGAGGCACTTACATCCTGTACTCTCACATCCCATTGACTGTATCAAGTCATTTGGCCAATCCCAAGGCTTTTCAAGTCTTTGAAATGCACCAAAGGACTTCCCTGGTGGTCCAGTGGCTAAAACTCTGCACTTCTGATGCAGGGTGCCCACGTTCGATCCCTGGCCAGAGAACTAGATCCCACGTGCCACAGCTAAGACATGGTGTAGCCAAATATTTTTTAAAATGCACCAAGCTTTTTTCTGCTTCAAAATCGTTGCATACATCATCCCCTCTACTCAATATGGTCTTCCCTGACACCTAAGCTAACATGGTCCCCATCACCACTATTATATCACTTTGAGAGCAGCCTATTTCTTCCTCCCCAGTCAATTATAATTTTTACTTTCATGGTTACTTAAGTGATCGTATTCACCTTTCACATTAGATCAACAGTGTCATTGACCAAAAGGCTAAGCCGCAACCTCTTTTTTTTCTCAGCTTTGCATTGGGTGTATTGCATCCAGCTTGTTACTTTAAAAAGGCTGGTTGAATGAATTAAGTGAAAACCATTAGACCCCTGCAGGGAGAATTTCCACTTTTCAAATGTACTGAGTTTGCAAGGTTGGAGACAGACAAGCATGACTGATCCCCAGTTCTATATATTTGTTAAAAGGCCTCTGTCCTTTACAAAACCACTTGACTTTTCTGTGCCTGTGTTTACTAACCCTGTGCTCCCTATCTCTGACTGTGCTTTTGAGGATTAAATGAGATTGTGGATTTAAGTTCCTAGCCCGATGCTGTGAGGATGTTGTCTGTCAAAATTCATGACCATTTTGCTCTCTTCACCCCACTTCCTGACAGCAGAGCCCCAGTCCCATTCTCATACCAAATGGCCAGCATTTTAGAGCATTTGTCATACATTCTGGTTAATGTAGTACAAATAGTGCTTTTAGATACTATAAGAAAGTAATATGATGTGTGGAACTTGCAACTAATGAACAGTGTCCTAACTGATACTCTGTTTACATGTCTATTTCACATATGTTTCCCTTGAGCCTGAAATAGATGCAATTTTTACAGGCAAAAAAAGGGATTGTAAAGATTACAGAGATGAAATTCTTTTTTTTTTTTCAGAGATGAAATTCTAAGGGTGAATAGCATCAGCAAGAATAATGCAAAAGGAAACCATGAAGCATGTTTTAAGAGTAGTGCATGTCACCTGTGAATGAAGAATTTGCTGGTCCTAGTCACTAGGATATGGAATATAGTGAGTCCAAGGTGTTGTTCCAGAGATGGCAGATGAAAAGTTGTTTATGACGGTTGAGTTTGAGCTCCAGATAGACTGCAGCAGGTGACTGGTTACACATTTAAGAAATGTAGGCAGCACACCTGGGTGGGAGTGGACATTTGAAATTCAGATTTTAAGTGGCATCTGATACCATCTATAAGTGTGACCACTTGAACGTTGGCACTTGGGTCTCAATGCTTATAAGGCTTCAGAACCACTTGAAGAGCTACCCTTTTTTAAAAAATATTTATTTATTTACTTATTTTTGGCTGTGCTGGGTTCATTGGCTTCACTGCTGTATGCAAGCTCTCTCTAGTTGTGCCAAGTGAGGGCTACCCTGTAGTTGTGGCACATGGGCTTCTCATTGCAATGGTTTCTCTTGTTGTGGAGCACAGGCTCAAGGGAACGCAGGCCTCAGTAGTTGTAGCACATGGGTTCTAGAGCACAGGCTCAATAGTTGGGGTGCATGGGCTTAGCTGTCTCATGGCACATGGGATATTTCTGGACCAGGAATCAAACCTATGTCCCCTGCATTGGCAGGTGGATTCTTAACCACTGGACCACCAGGGAAGTCCAGAGCTAACTTTAAGATGTAGTGAATAGAGTGAATGTGCCTGTGACAGTATCAAAAAGGTGAAATATACAATCTGATTTTTATTTCTGATATGGGGTGTTTTTAAGTGGGGGTGAAAATGTCCTAAAATTAAGATTGTGGCAATGGTTGAATACCACTGCACACATACTACAAACTACTGAATTGTACAGTTGAATTGGGTGAATTGTATATTATGTGAATTCCATCTCAGTGAAAGTGAAAGTCGCTCAGTCGTGTCCGGCTCTTTGTAACCCATGAACTATACAGTCCATGGAATTTTCCAGGCCAGAATACGGAAATAGGTAGCCTTTCCCTTCTCCAGGGCATCTTCCCGACCCGGGAATCAAACCAGGGTCTCCTGCATTGCGGGCAGATTTTTTACTAGCTGAGCTACCAGGGAAGCCCTCCATCTCAATAAAACTGATTAAAATAAAAAAGGCACAGTTCAGATTTGGCCCAAGGGCTGTAGTTGGCAGCTCAAGATGACTGTCATATTTCTTTTCCTGTTGCATGTATCCCCTGAATGAGCTGAAGGGAATCCACATATCAGTACTTCAGGTTGGGAAGCTCTACCACACAACATTGGAGTCCCAGAAGTGTGTGGTGACAGGTCCCTGTGTTTACATGTAACTTATTAAAACCCCGTTTCTAATACAAGCCAGACTCATACTTTCTGCTCCCCAGTCCCCACACCATGATGTTGTTCAGTTAGGGAGACCAGGTGCTGCACCGACGAGGATCAGATTATCAAAGACCCTGTATCCTTGAGGTGGCAAAGACCTCAGAGTTGAAACAGCCCTGAAGTAAAATGTCCAAACTAAAGCTCTGCTGGGCCAGCCCTGTGAAAGCGGACAGATTCTGGAGTTTGCTAAAAGGATGAAGGAAAAGTATTCTGCTCTCTCCCCTACTTCCACCACTGCATGCCAGGTGCTGACATGATTCACTCACTTCATTGAGGAAGTTTGTGAACTGGCAACTAGGATCGAATCACCAACAACCAGTTTTACAACAATCCACTGTCTCTCCAAGAACAGTCTTCTATGTCAACCAAACAGGAGAATCGAGTGGGGAGCTGGCAGAATCCACGACCCATGCATCTTTCAAGTCCAGTGGTGGATTTTTCTGGAATTCCCACAATGTGTGGTGCTGCTTTGGAATAATCACTTTCCTAGGGACCTGGAGCTGCAGCAGCACCCATTGGCCCCTTTCTATCTGCAGACTCCATAGATCAGGAAGCCAGGTGGGCATTCACAGAACACAAGTCCCATCAGGGCACAGAATTTTGGCCATTGTGTTCAAGGTTATAACCCTAGCACCTAGCACATAGGAGTCAATCACTATTTCTGAAGTGGACCAATGGGTGACTATCTAAAATCTAGAAAATATTGACTCCAACTACCCAACCATAAAGTGGGGAATTAACCAGTAGCTGGTAGTCCCACTGGACCTAGAACACAAGCACGTGAGTTCTAAAGAAACATTTCTTGGATTAGAAACTCTGAAAGGTGAAAAAAATCACAGAATGTAGATTAAGTTTTAAAAATAAACACATCCACTAAAAACAGAAAATCATGAACATTAATCATTACAAGTGATGAAGATGAAAATGTCTTTAATCAATAATGAAAAATGCTAAACACCCTCCAGAAGATGCATTCCATTTAGCTAGACCACAGAAGATTTTAAAGGTTGTCTTTGAATTAACTGTTGAGGTTTACTAAGCTATTTTTTTTTTCCAGAACACATTTAAACCAAGCCTTTTACTGCCAAGAGAAGAAAAGATGCACAGGGAATAAAAACATTGCTTTCTTATTACCCCCTTTTCACTAGAGTCATAGAAATTGCTCTCCAAACATAGCAGGACTGAACACTCTCCACCACGACTGCATCGACCATGTCAGATACTCGAGGTGCGTAGCCATCAGGAAGTTTCAGAGATTCCAGGGTGAAAAAGATAGTATCATCTAACACCCCATTTCTTCCCTGCAGGCTAGTAATGCAAACCTGTAATTACAAACAATGCAAATGTTTATGTAAAAGGCTCATGCACTTTCACAAGGTCTGCACCTCCTCACTCAGGATTTAATCTGTTGTTTAGTCGCTAAGTCCTGTCTGACTCTTTGCGATTCCATGGACTGCAGCACTCCAGGCTCGTCTGTCCATAGGATTCTCCAGACAAGAATACTGGAATGGGTTGCCATTTCCTTCTCCAGGGGAATCTTCCTGATCCAGGGATCAAACCAGTGTTTCCTACATTGGCAGGCTGATTCTTTACCACTGAGTCACCTGGGAAGCCTGGATTTAATCTGTAGGTCACTCCAAATCAGTGATTCCCAACATGGCTGGCACATCTGAGACACCAAAGTGGAGCGCTTTGTAAAACTACTCATGCCGAGACCCCATCTCACATTAATTCAGTCAGAATCTCTGTGGATTCAAGTCTAGTATTAGAAACCCTGCTCTAAATATAACATACTCTGTCCATTAACCTCCACAGTAACAGCGGTGAGAGTGAAAAGGATTGAGTAAGAAAGGAATGTGGTGGTAAATAGAACCTCATTTCCCCCACTTCCTCTGTCACATTTCAAGCTTCATCTGTGAAAAGTGAAAGTGAATGCTGCTTAGTCATGTCCGACTGTGACAATCCACGGAATTCTCCAGGCCAGAGTACTGGAGTGGGTAGTGTTTCCCTTCTCCAGGGGATCTTCCCAACCCAGGGATCAAACCCAGGTCTCCCGCATTGCAGGCAGATTCTTTACCAGCTGAGCCACCAGGGAAACCCTACAAACTGAATTTCTATTAGTCTCCAGGACCCAAACCACACCCAGTGTTTACTGTAAGATCTAGTCCCTTCACCCATGACATTCATTCTTCCCCAGCAATTTCCCGAACATGGTTTGTTTTCTGTTCTGTTGCTCTCAACATTTTAATACTGCTCATATAAACTGTATAATAATTATATAGACCTTAATTATATATATAACTTAGATCTTAATTATATATATTTTTCTTTAACTATTTCCTTTCAGAAGCACCACCTTTTCAATAAAAAAATAAACTCTTAGGCAAAGAATGTGTTTTCTTTTAGGTTTCCCAAGCCAACCAACAGAATCCCAAGCAGCAAATTATCACCACAAGCAGGCTAAGCCAAAACAAACAAGGGCAACATCAGATGAATTACCTTGTGCACGTGCTTGTGTCTCAGAGGCTTCACTGAGAGGGCCTTTCTGCTTTGTGCGTCTGGCTGGATGGAAAATACAACTTCTACTCGGTCACCCTGATAAGGTTCAAAATCTAAAACCACCAGGGAGAGAAATCAAGTTGGAATTATCTCACAATGTTGTCATGTGAAATTTCACAAGTTACTTTGATGCTGGAATACCCTAAAGTAGATTCTATGACATTGAAGGTCCATTTCGAACATTTAAAAACAGGTAACCTGCAAGTCTTCCTGTCAGAAAGGAATTTTATAATGTTTTAGGCATTGATTCTCTCTCCTGACTTCAAGTCAACTGGGGAAAAGCATTAACTGTGCATCTCAGAGCAATCTTTGGTGAGAGCAGCACAGAACCTGATCAAACTGTTGGTCACATTCACACTCCTTCTGGAGAGGAAGGAAAGTATGTAAGAATATGCTTGCCTGTGTTCAAACCTTAACACTGCCCCTTACTCAATTGACTTAATTCTCTGGGCCTTGATTTCTTCATCTGTAAAATGAGAAGCATAAGAGTAGTACTTACTACATAGAAGTGAAGGGACAATTAAAACTCATATAATAGTATTTGGCACAGAAGCAACACCAAATACATGTTGATTGCTATTAGTGGGAGCCATAGCAGAGGATGGTTGGATGTCATCACCAACTTGATGGACATGAGTTTGAGCAAGCCTCTGGGAGTTGGTGATGGACAGGGAAGCCTGGCGTGCTGCAGTCCATGGGGTCACAAAGAGTCAGACACAACTGAGTGACTGAACTGAACAGATAGCAGAAGAACATATTGCTAGAGGAAGAGACAATTTTCTCAAGGGTTTTGGACCAACAATGAACTCTATATAATTTACATTTTTCAACTGTCAACAAATCTTTACAGATTTTACACAAGTTAAAAGCGAGTCACAGTGTCCAAATGTACCATGGAGCATTTGAAGCCAATAGAATTCTAAAATGCTGCTACTGAAAGTGAAACTTGATACAACCACTTCAGAAAGCTGGCAATATCTATTAAAGTTAAATATTTCTGTACCCTATTTCTAGTTCCATCATAGCCCTTTCTTTGTTCTTGGTTCCATCACAACTAAATTTTAGAAGGACTGAAAACCACACAAGGAACCTCTTGTCTTCTTTCTCTCCACATTTCCTTTGTGTGGCTTTCTATAATATCCATAGGCTAATAATTCTAGTAACTGGAGTTCTAACCAGTTTCAGATTCATATATCCAAATGTTTACTCAAATCATTATGTCTAAAGCTGGGCTCTTGCTAGTCTTCTCATGCACCCAGTTTTGCTCCTTGGTCTTTCCATATCTCAAAAATGGAAACTCTACCCTTACCATTGTTCCAGCGAAACACTTAGGAGTAACTCTTGACTCCACTTTCCTTCACACCAAATGTCCAGTCCATCAGCCAATATTTTCATTTCTAACTTCAAAGTATTTCTAAAATCAAAGAAATCCTTACAGCCTTCCTTTCTACCAATCTTAGCCAAGTTTCCATCATCTCTCACCAGGATTATTGCAATAATAGATTCCTAACTTGTGTTCCCAATTCCATCCCTGTCCCATGTAACCTGTTCTCAGCATGACAGCCAGAGCGAACACATTAAAACATAACTCACGTCATATCACATCATTGTTCAAAGTTCATCCCCCCCAAAAGGCCAAATCCTTAATATGATCTATAAATCCCTGTGTAGCTCACCTCCTTACTCTTCTCTTTAAGATATTTATTGAAACTTTACTTTTTCAATAAAACCATCTGTAATTTTTCAACCCATAGCTCCCTAGATTTATCATTATCCTGAAACTATGATTCAGCAGTTTCAAGCCTAGTCCTAAGAACCTAGCCCTGACAAATAAAATCATAGGTTCACAAAAAAGACTTGTATAAGAATGTTTTTTAGCAGCTTTATTTATAATAGCCAAAAGCTGACAGCAGCCAACATGACCTTCAATAGGAAAATGGAGAAACTGTGATATACAGAATGAGCTACAGACATATGCAACAATATAGATGAATCTAAAAATACCCTTCTGAGTAAAAAAGTATTAAACAAAGAAGTATATATGTCTGATTTCATTATATCTGTAAAATTCTAGACCGCCAAATTAAATATATGGTGGGGAAAAAAACTCAAAACTGTATTTTGCCCTGGAGATGGGGGCGGAGATTGACTGGGGAGAGGCATGAGGGTAATGTTTAGGCACTTGGATTTGTAAAAACCCAAAGACACTCCAAAAAAAAAAAAACTAAAAACGATGAACTTGAGCTGCTGACACACATGTTGCTGACACAGATATGATGCCTACTCACGATGCTCCAGCCATCCTGCCCCTCCTTCTTTTCCGAGGAAATGCCAGAATTTTTCCATGTCAGGACTTTTCTCACATTTCTTCCCTGTGAAATATTTTTCCCAGGTGGTTCCTTTTCCCTCAGGTCTCAGCTCATGTGTCACCCCCTCAGAGAGGCCTTCGGTAACCTGCTGTCTATAGTAAAGCTCACCTCACTCTACTCCCAGTTTTACTATCACAATGCCTTCCTCAAGTCCTGGAGAGCAGAAAACAATCTGTATCTCTTTTGTGAGGGGGGCTGGGGGAGGTTTACTTGCATATTGTCTGAGTTCTACCTCTTTCTACCTCATTAGAATATAAGTATCATGAAAACTGTACCTGGAACAGAGTGAGGTACTCAAATATCTGTTGAATGAACATAAACAAGGAAAGAACATACACGGACTCGGCATGATATGGAACAAACAAAAAAAATCAACACAATTTTTCCTTCTTTTAGATTCCTATTATGTTTTAAATTGTAACAAGTTTTTACCATTTTCATTGGGTTTTATAATTAGATTAAAAACAGCTATTCTGACATTTCTAAATATGACTGGTTAGGTGCTCAAGTCTTCTTTTTCATCTACTCTCTCTTTCACCCTAAACGGTCTATTACTTCAATTCACTCGATTTATTTTGTAGCAGTAAATCCCTCCACCTGTGCTTTGAATCCCATCCTCTCTTTACAACCAGGGACTGTGTTTTATCAGTCCTTCCTGCTCTCGTCTTCACTTTCAATTAATCCCTTTGGCATTAGCAACATGTTCAAGTGTTTCCCATCTTGAGAAGAATTCTTCTAGCAAGGGCTATCATTGGTGGTGATTTCCTATTGACATGGTTTATAGGGACCAAGAGATTGCCTTTAGAGCTTAGCAATCCAAGGGGCCTCTTCTCTTAGCATTAGGTATTTCTAACTAAATGGGTCTTAAGATCCTAGCTGCCACCAGACAATCAATTTTGGGAACTTCTCTTTGGACTTAGGTACAATATTTTTACTTATATTCATCTTTCAAAATCCAGCCTGGCAAGGGGTTGCAGGGGTACGGAGACCAGCTGGGAAAGCGCCTCACCCAGGCAGCCTTTCCCAGTTCTCTCGATAGCAGTTAATCATTCTCTCTCCTCTACTCAGTAATGTGGTTTTTTTTTAAAAAAAAAAAAAACATTCTTTTAATCACATTCTTTTAATGTCAGTCTCTCCCAATTGAACTATCAGCTCTTTGCAGGCAGGGTTTAATAAAGTCTTAGTTATCTTGGTCTTGCCAATATCTAGCACTCTATTTTGAGCTGAATTAATAAATTGAAATAGCATCAACAAACCAACAAATCATTGCTTTAGGCATAAAATAACAAAGTGTTATACCTGATAATTAATGGACACACACACACACACACATGCTTGGAATGTGTTGGAGGAGGTTACTGAGAAGACATAACCATGGTTGACCCACAAACTGGACCTGGGGACTTGGAGGCTGCTCATCTCTTCCATGGTCCTTGGAATGTACATTCCACCTACCGTCCCATGTTTCAAGGACACAGCCTTAACAGAGTAAGGTATCACTGAGACCATTTGGGTGGTATTCGTGACTGAACTCTGTTAAGACCTCTGTATAAAGTGTTGAAATTCTGGCAGGGGAGGGTATAGATCTACTTGTACACTCAAAATAAGGCTCATACATTAAACTCCCTTGCTTATTAAACCTGCTCCCTACCCATCTGGAGTGGCCTGCCTCTTTCTAGGTCTCTCCTTGTTTTCCATTACAGGACCAGTTTGTGAACCAACAGAAAGGTACAAGGTTACTTCCAAACCTTATTTTAAAGCTTTTGAAGAATTAAAAAAAAACATTATCCCTGTATACTTGTATTAATAATATTTTTCAGTTAGATTAGAAATTCAATGCCTATAGGAATGGAAAAATTACACAAATACTAGTGATTACATCTAATAAATGACAATGCAACAAATGACAGGATGAAATTTTAAAAATATAACACATCTGTCCCTTGCTGTACATAATTTTTAACTCCAAAAGTTCACCTCAAGTATTAAAGAGCTTCCAGTTGGAGTGAAGGACAATGGAGAAGTAATTAAATCCTCTTACCAGTTAATGTTAAGCATGTCACAAATTTGACCCTGGAAATGATGCCTATAACCATCTTCAAATGCAATCTATAAAATTAAAAAATAGGTAAAACCTAATTTTAAATTTTAAATTTTTTTGGCTGAGTCCCTTTGCTGTCCACTTGAAACTATCACAACATTGTTAATCAGCTATACCCCAATATAAAATAAAAAGTTTAATTAATAAAAAAGACAAAGTTGGAGCATTTCAGAAGAGATTATTTACAATGTTTGAAATGTTTTTGTGAAAAGTATCTTGTGTATACATTTGGCATTTCCAAAAATCTCTTTTGCATTGCTTATTAAAGGAACATTTCAGCAATCTAGTAAAAATATATATATAAATTGTACCTTTACAAACAACATCTAGAGAGAAGTAAGCTGTGTGATGAATGAACTCAACACCTTCCATCAGAGAGTTCATACAGCCAAGTGAGATTCTAGTACAGGAGTCTGGCAGTTCATCACCGTGGCTATTATCACAGAAAGCATCCACCTATGAGAAGAAGAAACACTTACTTCACACATAACGAAAGTTTAAAAATCAGAAACATATGCTTAAATCATTGTTGTTTAAGAAAGAGTTTAAATAACTATAACAAACAGTGGTGAATATATTTTACATAGCAAACATATCATAGACATGAGATGATAAAATAATACCTGAGCTTCATATATTTTTATGTTTTAGAGCAGTTTAGGAAAATTAAGCATCAGTTCAGTTCAGTTCAGTCATGAGCTTCCCATATATTCCTTTTCTACACTCACAGTTTCCTCTGTTACTAGTATCTTGCATTTGTTCAATCAGTACATTTGTTTGATTGATGAACCAATATTAATTATATTTAATTAAAGTCCATAGTTTAAATGAGGGTTCACACTTTGTGTTATGCTGTCGTATATTTCCAAAAATGTGTCTGAAAACATTATTTGTGCACCAACAAATTAAATGCACTGACCATATTAGATGCAAAAACAAAAGATACTATTCCTGCCTGTATGAATTCATAACCAAAGGGGAGTAAAATGCAAAAATAATTAATTCAAAGCAAGTTATGACAAATAGTAAAAATATGTGCAAAAACTGGCTTTGGGGAATTCCCAGTAAGGAAAGAATTTATGATTCAGAGAATACAGGACAATTTCTTGGAGAAAGTGGGATTTGACCTAGGCTATGAAAGAAGAGAAAGATTTTACTAGCAAATGAGAACAGGGCTGAGGACAAGGGAGATATCAAAGGAGAGAAATCACATGGCAAAGTCGTGAACAAGGAGGAAAATCGTAAGATTTCAGATCACGGCACTTTGTGGGAGAGTGTTATAACACAACACAAAGTTGGGAAAATAAAGGCGGGGGGAGACAAGTCAAATTAGGACTTAATTTATCTATAACAGAGAGGCATTTGAAAGTTTTATTATTGAAAATAAAAGAGTCTTTATATTTTTCTTTGCTAATTACACTAATAGTACATGTTCATTGTACAAAAAATACAAGGCAGAGAAAAGAAGAAAACAAAAACCAATTATACATAATCTGTAAACCCAACAGCTTTCTAAAGATAAGCATTGACCATATTATATTCTGGTATAATATGCCAGATGTTTTTACTATGCATAAATATCTATGCACTATTTGAAGGAAAATTTAATAATATATATACTACTAATGCACCCTCAAATGATCACAAGTATGTCAACAATTCATCAAAGCACCATGACTGAGGAATAAAAGTTGCATGAAAGAGGATTTTTGCTTTTTCATCCTAGAGTTAGAATTATCTCTGTATTATTTTATGTGTATATAAAACTTTCCAAATTTAGAGAAAGTTTATATTAAGCATTCAGTTGAGAGCTGCTATCTAAATAATAGAGATACTACTACTACTAATAACATATATCTTAACCATTTAAGAAAGAAAGGCACAAAGGAAATTTCAATGTTTTCCATCAACCAAGTTATATAACAAAAATCCATACTTTACAGTGAAACCAAGAGGGACCCCGTGGGTCTTTCCTGGGAACAGACCCTCTGTCCCCAACTCCCTGTACTCTGCCTCTTGTTTGTAGAAAAGCTTTAGCTTCCTAAGCCTTCTCCAACTTCCAAAGAGCAAATTTAATCAGAGAAATAAGAAAACGCAGAAAGGAAAACAGTCAAGTAAGACAAAATAATTGTTTAGCCATAAAACAAGGCGCTTCAGTTCCTCCACAAGGACTATAGATAATATTCTGAGCCATATCCTTTGAGCTGTTCTGCAGATACTGAAATCCCCACCAGTCGGCAGAAGTTAATTGCATGCTGACCACCAGCACATACACCTCAGATCAGTTGGAACCATAAGGTTAACAATGTTGACTTCTGAAATACCACCCAGTTCCTCATCACCAACCTATCAGAAGGATATCCATGAGCTGATTAGGCACACTGCTCCCCCTCTTCTCTAGCATGAAAGAAACTTGAATTCTACTCTGAATTACAATCGTTCCTTAGGGCATTAGTCTTCCATCTTCTCAGTTTGCTGGCCTTCCAAATAAAGTCGATTTTCCTTGCCCCAACACCTTTTTTCTAGACTTACTGGCCTGTCATGGGATGAGTAGAATGAGCTTGGACTCAGTTACAGTAGGAGACAAAATTTGTTAGAACATATAATATATATAAATATATAAATATGTTGACAATGGTTTAAATTATCCTAAAATGCAAAAAGCTTATTTTTTAGAGTTTATTTATTTGTCCATGCTGAGTGGCTTTTGGAATCTTAGTTCCCCAACCAAGGATTGAACCTGGGCCTCTTGCTGTGGAAGCGCCAAGTCCTACCACTGCTCAGACAGGTTGAATAAATAGAAACAAGGTTGGAATCCCCCAGGAAAAAAGACAGTCCCCAAACTTATCTTACTTTGATTGCTTTCAATCCATGAGATGTTTCATTTTCCTCCACAACTGCAGTAACCTTTTGCCCAACTTTCAGGAGCACATTGCCAGTCACAACATCACTGCTGAAGTAGATCAACTCATCGATCAAGCCATAGTTACTACAGAACTTTGTCACGACTCCTTGCACAGTTTTTGACTTGGTGTGACCTAAGAGATGAGTAAAGGTTTCATTAATCTTAAACGCAAACACACATTATAAAGAAGCCCTACCAGAGGAAGATGGGCTTCCCAGGGGGCTCAGTAGTAAAGAAATTGCTTGCCAATGCAAGAGACTCAGGAGGTGCCTGTTCAATCCCTGGGTAGAGATCATCTGGAGAAGGAAAAGGCAACCTACTGGAGGGGGGATCAGGATGGGGAACACATGTAAATCCATGGCTGATTCATGTCAATGTATGGCAAAAACCACTACAATATTGTAAAGTAATTAGCCTCCAACTAATAAAAACAAATGGAAAAATAAATAAATAATAAAATAAAATAAAATAAAGAATAAGATGGTAAAAAAAAAGGCAACCTACTCCAGTAGGTTGGAAAATCCCATGGACAGAGAAGCCTGGCAGGCTACAGTCCATGGGGTCACAAAAAGTCTGACACAACGGAGCATGCACATGTAGATGATACCAAGAGAAGATATAGCAGAAAATGAATTAAATCTAGAAATAAATTGGGTTAGATTTAAGATACAGATGACAATGAGAGTAGAACATAGTGGTAAAGTGTGCAGGATTTGGGAGGCAGATTGCTTAAATTGAAATGCTAGTTCTACCATTTATTTCTGTTTGGCACACTGGCTCCATGCCCAAGGCAGTGGGGCTTTGAGGTGAAGAAAGCAGAGTCTGGAGCCTGACCTGATTTCGAATCACACAGCTCTTCCTGCTTACCTAAATCTGTGTAACCTGGGGTTCATTTCTTACCCTCTCTGAATTTGTTTTCATCTGTAAAACCAGGTCAACGACAATGTGAATTCACAAGGGTGAATCTTAAATGGTCTCACATTATTGGCCTCCCCAATCAATAGAAATTGACTAGACGCCAGACAAGAAATTCAGGCAAGACTTTATTGGGGCATTGATGCAGTGGCGGTGGGGGGTGGGGGGGTGGGTAGCTAAAGAAAGAAAGTGTCTTTACTTCCTCCCTGCCAGAGCCCGGTGGCAAGCAGGCTCCTTATGTGGGGTGAGGGTAAGGGGTGCGTCCAGGGGTCAGGCCTAAGGGGTGGCTTAGGTAGTTTGCCCACCCTTCTGGTGATGCATGCAGGGGGCAAGCACAGTATCCTGCTTTTGTTCCCAATCCCCTGCTTGTGCTCCAGGCCCTTCAAAAGTGGCAGTTTGGTCTCTTTGTATCTTTTGGGTCTGGAATTTGCCCCAACTGCACAGGCATACAGTTATTTTTAGTCCCATACAGTTTCTTTGCATTTTGTTGCTCAAGGAGAGGTGTGTACAGGTGCAAACATTGCAGCACTGCAGCAACTTGGGTCCCAGGTTCCAGCCTTTCTCATCACCACAAAAAATAAGATAATTTTATCAGGTGATAGAGGCATTAACTAGCCTTATTGTGTAAACATTTCACAATATATACATATATCAAATCATCACATTTTACACCTTAAACTTACAATTTCATATGCCAATTATATCTCAATAAAGCTGGTGAGAAAAGGTTGTTATAAATATTGACTGACACATACATATCAACTGCTTAGAACTGTGAGTGCCTCCCACCGGTTAGAGCTTATATGTTAGTTGCTATCGTGGTATCTACATCTAGACAGCCTAAAGCATCAATTGTTGTTATATAATTTTACTGTAATCAACAACAGCATGAACAGCAGATCTGGAAATTTTTGAGCAACTCACCAGACAAAGCACATAAAGAGATCTGGGGATTTGAATCTAGCCCAAATGTGCATCTGAATCACTCGGGTTTATTTTATTTTATTTTTTTGTGAACAAACACAGCTAGTAAGCCACAATTTGGGATCTGAACCTAGAGGTCAGCCTGTAGAACCCACGCTATGAGCCAAAATGCCTTAGGTGCTTGACCAAAGACTTGGATGAACTGATTGGGGAAGGCTAGGGAATACCTTGATTATAATAGATTACAGAATCACAACCCAAGAAAATCCTGAAAATTTGAAAAAGAGGAAAAAGAAAGGGGAGGAGTCACATTTATTACTTTAAATCATAGCACTGAAAAAAGAGGAATACAAGAAAGACAACTTCCACTCAGGCACATAACTTGTCAAAGACTCCTGTGTTGTTCTTTGGGTAAAAGGGAGGGGAATTAATGGATGATGCAGTGTCAGCTAAAACTACGCAGCAACCTCCCAACGCAAACTTCGCTAAGACTCAGCCACCTCTCTGGGGCTCAAACTCCTGCAGAAGCTGCAGGGAGATTCGGGCACCTGGGAGCCGGGGCCCTGCTGAGGGAATAATGCTGCTCAAGAGCCATCTCTGGCAAACTGCCACCCTAGGCGAGCGCACAGTGGATTCACTCCCGTGGGATGAAGAGCCTGCGGCGTTAGCGCAGAGGTCGGGAAGCGTTGCAGGGCCTGGAGTCTGGGTGTCTGGTGACACCGGCTGGGGTCCGCTCCTCCCTGCCTGTGTCGCTCTGACCCCGCTGTCCAACGGATCGACAACCCTGCGACTTCTCTCGGGGAGATTTTGAAGATTAAAGCACGTGGATGACCCTCAGCCCCTGGGCCCCTGAGCCCAGGGCTTGGCCACAGACAAGCACTTAATACACAAGAGAATTAATGCAACCAGAGCAGGGACGCCACTCTCCCAGCAAACCTTTTCATTTTAAGGGATTCCCACCAACAAAATGACGCCTTCTCAATGCTCCCCGAGTCATCCCCTCAGTGCCAGACTCTGGGGCAAGTTTTTAGGGCACAAAGGTGATCAAGTTAAACGTGGCCCCTGCCCTCCGACCGGGGACAGATGTATGATTCGTCCACTTGCCTCCAAACACGCGCTTTTGTGAAACCATAGCAGATTCACCCTGTATGGAAAGGCCGTCGCAACACACTCGCATAACACAGGCACGATTTCCAAAGGCTTCTGGGGAAATGCAAGGGTGGGGCACAGCTCCCCAGGGAGCGTCTCAATCAACATATTAACTCTAGACTAGGGACTCCGGGTTGTGTTCAGGGACTCCCCACATGGAGGTGCCTCCTGGGACACACAGCGCCCTTCTGGGCTCATGCGGCCTAGAACTAGGAGTGGGATGCACCGCTAAGTACTCAAGGGGAAGGAAGGGATGAGGTGAGTACCTTCCAGGAGCCTCTGATGCTGCGCCCTCTCTGCTTCCGACGAGTCCACCTTCCTCCAAAAGGCAAGAGCCCTGGAAATAAACCGGAGCATAGTCCTGTAGTCAGGGCGGCCTGGGCTCCGCGTGACAGTGGGCACGAGGCTTGCTTCTGTCTAATCCTCTGCCTCCAAGCCGCACTCTGATCACAGCCGCTGCCCAGAGGCCGTGCCTGCCTCTCTGCACCGCCCAACTTCTAGTAAGGCCCTCACACAGGACTTGGCTGAAGCTGCTCTACGAAGATCTTTACAGTTCCCACCCTCTAGCCAATCCGGGCGTAGCCCCCTGGGAGGAGGGTCCTGAGCTGTAGCGGGCTGGTGGGCGGGACTTCGTGGCTCCTCCCATCACAGACGAAGGTGGAAACCTGGAGGCCATGCTGGAAGTCGCTTCCAGTCTAATCCTTTTTTGCATCTCTTAGGGTAGACAAATTCGCTCACGGGCTTTTGCTTGGAGGGCCTGGTGCCTGTTTTGGAAGATGGCGCCGCAGATTGCCCTGAGGATGGAGGCGGGCTCCCAGGTGTGGAGCCCCATCCCTCAGGGCCTGAGTTCTTTTCCTTTGCCTCTAGAACACCTCCACCCACCCATACCCCAAAAGCACCACCTCCTCACCCCTACACAGGCTCCACAGAGGGTTCCGTGATCCGCTCTAAGCAACAGTTTTCTGTTCAACGTTAAACCAATACCATCGATATTGGGGAAAAGTCAAACTTTTGCATTAGCTTGGGCCTCTAAACAAGGGCATGGCACCCCACTCCAGTGTTGCCTGGGAAATCCCACGAACAGAGGAGCCTGGCGGGCTACAGTTGATAGGGTCGCAAAGAGTCCGGACACGACTGAGCAAAGCTACAAAGCTGCTTGGAAGCTGGAGCCAACTGCTGCTTTATAGCGAAGCACTCGTGGTCCCGAGAGACACTTTCAAAGTGTAAGCTGGAGATGAGGGTGGCTAAGTGAGGAGGATCAAATGATGTAGCACAATGCAGAGAGCTTGGATTGCATCCCTACTAGTATTTGGCTGGGCGGGGGTGGGGGTAGGGGGGAACGGACCATGCAGACACGGTCACATTAAGAATATTAAATGAGGATTTGGGTTGTCTTCAGTAAACCACTCACACACAAAAAAAAAATCTGTAAAACATCCTTTAGCGTTGCTCAGTCACTCAGTCGCTTGCGACCCTTTGCAACCCTATGGATTGTAGTCCACCAGTTAGGGCAAATTCTGAACAAAAGATACAAAGAAACAAACAAAAAAGAAACCAAAAACCCTAAACCCAACCTCCACTTTTGAAGAGCCTGGAGCAAAAGTGGGGTACTGAGCATGCTTCCTGCACACAACAACATTAAGGAGTGGGCAAAACACCCAAGGCACCACTCCAGCCAGACTCCTGGACACACCTCTACCCTCACCTTATATAAGGAACAAGCTTGCCCCACGTGGAGGAGTGAGCAAGCAAGTGAACTTGTTGTTTGTTCCCCTACTGCAGCAGGGGGTCCTAATAAAGTCTTGCCTAAATTTCTTCTCTGGCCTCTAGTTTTTTTTTTCCTCTAGTTTGTTTTTATTGATTTGGGAAGGTCAAGAACCTGCAAAATCTGTTACTTTTCTCAATATCTTTGAAACTGTTACAGGCTGCACCTGACAAGGCTCAGAAATAGCCCCAGGCTCTGGAGTCTGGGACAGAGCACACTATCTCCACATGCAACCTTCCCTGGACAGTGGGCAGCTTAACATCCATGGCATCTAGTGGCTGTCCAGCAGTTCCCTTCCCATTTATCAAGTTGAGGTATTTCCACTCTATTCTCAGTTTTTCCAGTGACTTTATCATGAAAGGATGTGGGATTATGTCAAATGCTTTTTTTAATTGAGATCATCATGTGATTTTGGCCTTTATCCTATTAGCATGGTGTACAATATTGATTTTCAAATTTAACCAACCTTGTGTTCCTGGGGTAAATCTCACTTGGTCATTGCTATGGACTGAATTCCGTCCCCTAAAATATATATGCTAAAGTCCCCAGGCCTCAGAATGTGACTGAATTTGGAGATAGGGTTTGTAAAGGTGTAATTGGTTAAAAGGAGGTCATTAGGATGACACTGATTCAGTATCAGTTCAATATCAAATTCCTCTTATCAGCCCTCATAAGAGGAAAATTTGATACCAATTCAGATAGAGGGAAGGCGAGGAAACAAAATAACCATCTATAAGTTAAGGAAAGAGGCCTTAGGAAAAAATCAAACTTACTGACATCTTGTTCTTGGACTTCTTAGCCTCTAGAATTGTGAGAAAATGAATTTCTTTTGTTTAAGCCACCCAGTCTGTGATACTTTGTTATGGCAGTCCTAGAAAACTAATACAGTCATTGCAGACAGTTCTTTTATATGTTACTGGATTGATTTAAGGACTTTTGCCTTTGAATTCATAAAGGACATTGGTCTGTAGCTATTTATTTTTTCTTGTGTTGTTTCCATCTAGTTTTTGTATACTAGATGGATAATACTACTCTCATAGAATGAGTTTGGAAGTATCCTCTCCTATTCTGGCTTTTTGGAAGAGTTTGAGAAGGATTGCTATTCATTCTTTGTAAAATGATTGGTAGACTTCAACAGTGAATCAGTCTACACCTGGATGTGTGTGTGTGTGTGTGTGTGTGTGTGTGTGTGTTTGAAGTGCTTTACTTACTAATTCAATCTCTTTACTTGTTATGGATTTATTCAGATTTTCTGTTTCTTTCTTATAAGGGTTTTGGGGGTTATGCTTAATTTTTATAACAGCATTATTGAAAGATACTGTTACTGTTAGTACTCAGTTGTGTCTGACTCTTTGTGACCCCATGGCCCATAGCCCACCAGGCTCTTTGTCTATGGGATTTTCCATGCAAGAATACTGGAGTGGGTTGCCATTCCATTCTCCAAGGGATCTTCCCCACCCAGGGATCGAACCCCGGGTCATCCGCACTGCAGGCAGGTTCTTTACTGTCTGAGCCACTAGGGAAGCCCCTTATTAAGATATAATTCACATACTATTGAAAGTCGCTCAGTCATGTCCAACTATTTGTGACCCCATGGACTATACAGTCCATGGAATACTTCAGGCCAGAGTACTGGAGTAGGTAGCCTTTCCCTTCTCCAGGGGATCTTTCCAACCCAGGGATTGAAACCAGGTCTCCTGTATGGCAGGCAGATTCTTTACCTGCTGAGCCACAAGGGAAGCCCTCATATACTATAGTACTGACCTATTTATACAATTAAATGTCTATTTCTTCTTTGGTTAGTTTTGATCATTTTTGTCTTTCTAGGTCATCTAATTTTTTAGCATACAGTTGTTCATATCATTCTCTTATAGTCCTTTTTATATATAGGGATGTCCTCTCTTTCTTTCCTGATTTTAGCAATTTGAGTCTTCTTTTTCTTTGGTGAGTCTACCTAAAGGTATATTGATTTCCTGATCATTTCAAAGAACAGACTCTTGATTTCATTTACATTCTCCCTTTCTTCTGTATTGTCAACTTGATTTATTTCTGCTCTGATCTTTGATTTATTTCCTTCTGCTCACTTTGGGTTTAGATCACTTGTCTTATGGTAGAAGGTTAGATTGTTGATATGATATCTTTGTCCTTACTCTGCAATTTCTAAATTGATTCTCACTTAATACTCTTTAGTTGCTCTCACAATAAGGCACAATACCCCAGTAGGTCCTTGGCTTGGCAACTTCATCTTGGATCCCTTACACTGGATAAGCTGTCAGGGTGCCCAGACATAACACAGGTGTTCAGAGACACCAGCATTCTGAAAATCTCCTGTGAACATACACTGCCTTGAGTTGTTTATTCATTCTTCATTATTTGTTTGCTGTCTCCCTTTCCTCCAGACACTGAGTCTCATTTCTCCATTTTTCTTAGCATAGTGCTTGGCTCTGGAGTAAGCCCTCATCAGTTTTTACAGACTGGCTGATAAACTGACCAGTGGACCCATCATGCTGGGTGGTATCTGCCTATTCCCTTGGCCATATCCCTCTTATTAAAAGTTTAATGAAGGCAGGACCTTGTCTGCCTTGCTCCCTGAATCAGTCGAGACCAGTCAGCTTAAAAGAAAGCATTATAGGCATTTCAAGAAGGAAAAAACCCTAATGCTGGAATTAGATGTTGACTAATCTGTTTAAGGATTAGCAAGGAGAGATAACAAAGCCTTCCTCAGTGATCAATGCAAAGAAATAGAGGAAAACAACAGAATGGGAAAGACTAGAGATCTCTTCAAGAAAATTAGAGATACCAAGGGAACATTTCATGCAAAGATGGGTTCGACAAAGGACAGAAATTGTATGGACATAACAGAAGCAGAAGATATTAAGAAGAGGCGGCAAGAATACACAGAAGAACTGTACAAAAAAGATCTTCACGACCCAGATAATCACAATGCTGTGATCACTCACCTAGAGCCAGACATCCTGGAATGTGAAGTCAAGTGGGCCTTAGGAAGCATCACTACAAACAAAGCTAGCGAGGTGACGGAATTCCAGTTGAGCTATTTCAAATTCTGAAAGATGATGTTGTGAAAGTGCTGCACTCAGTATGCCAGCAAATTTGGAAAACTCAGCAGTGGCCACAGGACTGGAAAAGGTCAGTTTTCATTCCAATCCCAAAGAAAGGCAATCCCAAAGAATGCTCAAACTACCGCACAATTGCACTCATCTCACATGCTAGTAAAGTAATGCTCAAAATTCTCCAAACCAGGCTTCAGCAATACGTAAACCATGAACTTCCAGATGTTCAAGCTGGTTTTAGAAAAGGCAGAGGAACCAGAGGTCAAATTGCGAACATCCGCTGGATCATCGAAAAAGCAAGAGAGTTCCAGAAAAACATCTATTTCTGCATTATTGAGTATGCCAAAGCCTTTGACTGTGTGGATCACAATAAATTGTGGAAAATTCTGAAAGAGATGGGCATACCAGCCCATCTGACCTGCCTCTTGAGAAACGTGTATGCAGGTCAGGAAGCAACAGTTACAACTGGACATGGAACAACAGACTGGTTCCAAATAGGAAAAGGAGTACGTCAAGGCTGT